GGCGCTTGGAGGGACTTGCGTTGGGCCTGCCGGAGCCCAAGGTGCTGCTCGGACAACTCGTGCTCGTCGCTCAGGGTGGGGGAGCAGTGGCGGGGGACACAAAGGGGGCGGGGTGAGGGGGGGGGCGTTGTGGGGGTGGGGGCCGTTTGCGGGATACAGCGTTGCCCCCCACCCCTCGTACACGTGGATGTTTTCTCTGGGCGCTCCGGCTTCCTCCCGCGCATATAATAAACATCATTCCTCGCCTCAATGTATCGACGACCACAGAGCTGAGGCCAGTGGCAGGCCCCTGGTGGCCTTTCAGTGTGGCCCACTGATGTGTGCCCTCCCCACCGGACCAGACACTCGGTGAAAACGCCCACCCATCATCATCGTCGTGCCTGCTGTCAAACTCCTAATGGTTTCAAATGGTGTGGCAGCCCTCACACACACTGACGATGTCTTATTGTTGGTGCCGGCACACTGGCTGGTTTGCTACTGGGCGGCAAGACAGGCAGGTAACGCGACACGCCGGAGGCTGGGCGCCACGGTGGCCAGGAGATGTTAACTACCTCGCCTGGTCTACAGGAGGTCGTGGGTTCGATCCCGACTCTGACGCCTGCTGCTGTATATTTGGAGTTGCGTGTCTCTCTCACATCATCATCACGGTGGCTAGGAGATGTTAACTACCTCGCCTGGTCTACAGGAGGTCGTGGGTTCGATCCCGACCCTGACGCCTGCTGCTGTATATTTGGAGTTTGCGTGTCTCTCTCTCTCATCATCATCACGGTGGCTAGGAGATGTTAACTACGTCGCCCTGGTCTACAGGAGGTCGTGGGTTCGATCCCGACTCTGACGCCTGCTGCTGTATTGCGTGTCTCTCTCTCTCATCATCACGGTGGCCAGGAGATGTTAACTCCCTCGCCTGGTATACAGGAGGTCGTGGGTTCAATCCCGACTCTGACGCCTGCTGCTGTATTGCGTGTCTCTCTCATCATCACGGTGGCTAGGAGATGTTAACTACGTCGCCTGGTCTACAGGAGGTCGTGGGTTCGATCCCGACTCTGACGCCTGCTGCTGTATATTTGGAGTTTGCGTGTCTCTCTCTCTCTCATCATCACGGTGGCTAGGAGATGTTAACTACCTCGCCTGGTCTACAGGAGGTCGTGGGTTCGATCCCGACTCTGACGCCTGCTGCTGTATATTTGGAGTTTGCGTGTCTCTCTCTCTCATCATCACGGTGGCTAGGAGATGTTAACTACCTCGCCTGGTCTACAGGAGGTCGTGGGTTCGATCCCGACTCTGACGCCTGCTGTATGTTTAGAGTTTGCGTGTCTCTCTCTCTCTCATCATCACGGTGGCTAGGAGATGTTAACTACGTCGCCTGGTCTACAGGAGGTCGTGGGTTCGATCCCGACCCTGACGCCTGCTGCTGTATATTTGGAGTTTGCGTGTCTCTCTCTCTCTCATCATCATGGTGGCTAGGAGATGTTAACTACCTCGCCTAGTCTACAGGAGGTCGTGGGTTCGATCCCGACTCTGACGCCTGCTGCTGTATATTTGGAGTTTGCGTGTCTCTCTCTCTCATCATCACAGTGGCTAGGAGATGTTAACTACCTCGCCTGGTCTACAGGAGGTCGTGGGTTCGATCCCGACTCTGATGCCTGCTGTATGTTTAGAGTCTGCGTGTCTCTCTCTCTATCTCATCATCACGGTGGCTAGGAGATGTTAACTACGTCGCCTGGTCTACAGGAGGTCGTGGGTTCGATCCCGACTCTGACGCCTGCTGCTGTATATTTGGAGTTTGCGTGTCTCTCTCTCTCTCATCATCACGGTGGCTAGGAGATGTTAACTACCTCGCCTAGTCTACAGGAGGTCGTAGGTTCGATCCCGACTGACGCCTGCTGCTGTATTGCGTGTCTCTCTCTCTCATCATCACGGTGGCCAGGAGATGTTAACTCCCTCGCCTGGTCTACAGGAGGTCGTGGGTTCGATCCCGACTCTGACGCCTGCTGCTGTATATTTGGAGTTTGCGTGTCTCTCTCTCATCATCATCACGGTGGCTAGGAGATGTTAACTCCCTCGCCTAGTCTACAGGAGGTCGTGGGTTCGATCCCGACTCTGACGCCTGCTGCTGCTGTACATTTGGAGTTTTGCGGTGTCGCTCTCTCCCCGTGGTCGCGTGGATTTTTCTCCGGGTCCTCCGGTTTTACCCTCCACATTTAGGATCAACATCACGCATTCAGAGTATTTGGCTGCTATAAATTTCCACATGATGATAAGCCACTTTGTTGAGATGTCATTTGTGATGGCCATATCGCTTCTGAAAAAAAAAATCTACGTAGCTCCAGTAGGTCTTTTCTAGTAAAATAAAAAATTGTTTAAAATAATTTTAATTTAAAAAATGCGAGTTCAAAAGCATGGTTGGCTACGCACGGTACGAAAGAGGTTCAATGTATGTACAAGTGCAGGGGCCTTGCGGCTGAGTGGGTGGGGCCATGAAAAAATGGGTTGTGCTAGTTGCTGATTGGGTGTGGCTCTACAAAATGGGCTTGGCCAACAGAGGGAAGAGGGCGGGGCTACCAGCTCCCCCCACTCCCCCCCACCCACCCACCACGGGTGAGCTTCCCAGAGATTTGGTAGCTTCAGATTTCTGGGGGTGTCTCCATTGCCCCGATCGGCCCCAAGCGACCTCTCTCTTGTGTGAGTGACCGTTGACAACCTAAGCCCATGCGTGTACCCCTCCCACCCTCTGACCCCCTCCCTCCGCCCCCCCTCCCTCCACCCATTGACCCCGATATTCCCCCAGGGTCCTCTAAGGAGGAGTTTGAACGCGGATCAGATCCAGGAGGAGCTGCAGAGTCTGGGTGAGGGCAATCGTCGGGCGGGGCTCTCCTATCGGTGGCTAACGCTGCTGCACGCGGCTGCCTGTAGTCCATCACTGTGGGTGGTAGCAGTAGAGCGAGGCGGAGGTGACTGACCACCGGCGAGTGAGCGAGGGGAGTGGCGGGAGTGGTTCTGTGAGTGCTGGATCACCGCTGACCCCCCGTGCGCGTGTTTGCATCTGTGCCCTGGCAGGTCTGTCGAAGGAGAAGTCTCGCTGGCTTCCTAGCCAGGTTCGTCTGGCGGTGCAGCAAGTGGGGCTCATCCCTGAAGCCGACAGGGCAGAGGATGTTGATGACGACGACGACGATGACGACGGCGGCACTGCATAACGATGCTTCGTGGTCTGATAATTACCACGTGATAGCGGTGGTTACGTGTGCGTGTGTGTTGAACTTCTTTTCCACTGCACGTAGCCAACCATGCCAACCATGCCAACCATGCCAACCATGCCAACCATGCCAACCATGCCAACCATGCCAACCATGCTAATCGGGAGTTGCCGGGGAAGGACAACAAACTAAACACAAAAGCAGTTCTAAAGAAATGAGTTTGTCAATCTAAATGATGATTTAAAAGTGCACGGCTCCAGTGGCTTCCTATTATCGGAAGGAAGAGACCCATAGAGACCCACATAGAGACCCACATAGAGACCCACATAGAGACCCACATAGAGACCCACATAGAGACCCACGTAGAGACCCACGTAGAGACCCACGTAGAGACCCACGTAGAGACCCACGTAGAGACCCACGTAGAGACCCACGTAGAGACCCACGTAGAGACCCACGTAGAGACCCACGTAGAGACCCACGTAGAGACCCACGTAGAGACCCACGTAGAGACCCACGTAGAGACCCACGTAGAGACCCACGTAGAGACCCACGTAGAGACCCACGTAGAGACCCACGTAGAGACCCACGTAGAGACCCACGTAGAGACCCACGTAGAGACCCACGTAGAGACCCACGTAGAGACCCACGTAGAGACCCACGTAGAGACCCACGTAGAGACCCACGTAGAGACCCACGTAGAGACCCACGTAGAGACCCACGTAGAGACCCACGTAGAGACCCACGTAGAGACTCACGTAGAGACCCACGTAGAGACCCACGTAGAGACCCACGTAGAGACCCACATAGAGACCCACGTAGAGACCCACGTAGAGACCCACGTAGAGACCCACATAGAGACCCACATAGACCCACATAGAGACCCACATAGATCCAGAGACTAATGTAGAACTACAGAGACCCACAGAACCCCACAGAGACCCACCGAGACCCACACTCATATTTATGGATGTTGAACTTATTTCGAACAGTGCGTAGCCAACCGTGCTAATTGGGAAGTGCCGGGGGAAGGACGGCAAACTAAACACAAGAAGCAGTTGTAAAGAAATTAGTCAATCTAGATGACGACGATTTAAAAGTGCATAGCTATAGAGGCTTCCTATTATCGGGAGGAAGAGCGTTCCAGACGGTCGCAGAAGCAACCTCTTTGTTCGATGTGTGACGATGGTTGACGATGCATGACGGCGATTTGCGATGTTTCTCGATCCGATAACGGTGACGTGATCGCGACGTTCGCCAGAGGTCGCAAACGGGTTTTGATTCCTTACCCGTACCCGTACCCGGCCGCACCAGGGTCGCAAACGGCTACCTGTACCCGTACCCGGCCGGGTACGGGTAGCCGTTCCCTACCGGTACCCGTACCCTACCCGAAATGAGTGACAAACGGTTACTCACCAGTGACTCACGGCCTACCCATACCTGGCCGCACCAGGGTCGCAAACGGCTACCCGTACCCGTACCTGGCCGGGTACGGGTAGCCGGGTATCGGGTAGGGTACGGGTATCGGGTACCCGGTTGCGACCTCTGACGTTCGCCGCGATGTGACGACGTTTCCTACTCTGACGACGTTACGCGACTTGTGTGCGTGCGGGGGGGGGAGCGGCGGCGCAGCGGTTAGCGCGATTGGCTACAAATTCCGGCCTACCCGAGTTCAATTCCCGCTGACGGCCAACACCAGCGACGATTATCTGACTCAACAGAGTCGTGTGTGCACATCACCACTGGGGAGACAAAGGCGGCTGGGCTTGATGCTGCCCACCCCCACCCCCCATTGTGCGCTGTGCCGTCCTTTATAGGTGCTCGCTAACAGCACTTGCCCCAAAAGTCTGTTAAGGCTACACGGGGGGTCTTTGTCTTTTTATGGGGGAGCGGCGACGCAGCGGTTAGCGCGACGCACGAACTCGGCGACCCGGGAGCGATTCCCGCTCGCAATCGTCGGCCTCCAGTAGGCCTCAACGTGAGTACCCGGTGCGGTGTGCAGTGAGCATCGCCACTGGGGAGACAAAGGCGGTGCTGGCCACCCACCACCCTCGCGACGCGCCTTCGTGTAGATGCAGCTACTCGCCAACGGCACTTGCCCCGACCGCCTTGTTAGAGGCTACCCGGGGGATCTTTGTCTTCGCAGTGGGAGGAGAGGAGGCCGCTGTTGGCGCGGGCGGCGCTGGGCCGCGCTCTCTCCATCAACCAGCTCGTCGACCTGGAGTGGAAGTTCGGAGGTCAGGGTTCAACATCGATTACCTCTTTTCGTTTTTGTAGTTTTTTTTTAATTAAACGTGAGATTTGTGTGGTGCGAGAGTGTGGTGTGCGAGCGTGTGGTGTGTGTGTGAGACTGCTGTGCGAGTGTGTGAGCGAGAGTGTGGTGTGCGAGTGTGCGAGAGTTTCTGAGTGAGTGTGCGGTGTGTGGAGGTGGGGAGTGGTGGTGTAGCGGTCAGCGCGCTGCGCTACGAACCCGGCGACCCGAGTTTGATTCCCGCTCATGTCCACCAACACCGGTGACGATTATCTGAACCAGTCCTCTGGACCTCCCCTAGGTCGACTCAACCTCAAATGAGCACCTGGTGCTGTGTGTAAAAAAACATCACCACTGGGGAGACAAAGGTGGCCGGGCGTGGTGCTGGCCACCCACCCCCTCGTGTGCCACGCCGGCCTTCATAGGTGCGACCGCTCACGAACAGCACTTGCCCCAACAGTCTGTTAAGGCTACACGAGGGAATCTTTGTCTTTTTTCTTTGATCCCAATAGAGTAATTTTTTTCTAATTCTGCAAATTTGGGTCGTGCCGCCGGCAACACGGTGTGCCCAACTCTTGCGCACGACTCCTCGGGGCTCCTAGCGCCGCTGCGAGTGAAGCGGGCGTCTCCGATGAGAGCGGTGGGCTACGAGCGGTGTGAAGGAAAGTTGATTTGGCTGCGAGCCGTTGAACAAAGACGGTCACCGTAATCGCGTGGCGGCCGTCTGGAACGCTCTTCTCATACTGGGAAGGCAGTGGAGTTGTGCGCTTTTAAATCATCATCTAGACTGATGAACTAATTTCTTTGAAACTGAGTTTACATTGTTATCCTTCCACCGCACCTCCAATTCGCATGGTTGGCGACGTACTGCGCGAAAGAAGTTCAACATAGATACACATACAAAATACATACGTACGTAAAGCCGGCACGTGGTATTATTGCGGTTAATACGCACACACTCTGTAGAACAGGGGGAGATCACACAAAATCCACTCACTCTGTAGAACAGGGGGAGATCACACAAACTCCACTCACTCTGTAGAACAGGGGGAGATCACACAAACTCCACTCACTCTGTAGAACAGTGGGAGATCACACAAACTCCACTCACTCTGTAGAACAGGGGGAGATCACACAAACTCCACTCACTCTGTAGAACAGGGGGAGATCACACAAACTCCACTCACTCTGTAGAACAGGGGGAGATCACACAAACTCCACTCACTCTGTAGACCAGGGGGAGATAACACAAACTCCACTCTGTAGAACAGGGGGAGATCACACAAACTCCACTCACTCTGTAGAACAGTGGGAGATCACACAAACTCCACTCACTCTGTAGAACAGGGGGAGATCACACAAACTCCACTCACTCTGTAGAACAGGGGGAGATCACACAAACTCCACTCTGTTGAACAGGGGGAGATCACACAAAATCCACTCTGTAGAACAGGGGGAGATCACACAAACTCCACTCTGTAGAACAGGGGGAGATCACACAAACTCCACTCACTCTGTAGAACAGTGGGAGATCACACAAACTCCACTCACTCTGTAGAACAGGGGGAGATCACACAAACTCCACTCACTCTGTAGAACAGAGGGAGATCACACAAACTCCACTCTGTTGAACAGGGGGAGATCACACAAAATCCACTCTGTAGAACAGGGGGAGATCACACAAACTCCACTCACTCTGTAGAACAGGGGGAGATCACACAAAATCCACTCACTCTGTAGAACAGTGGGAGATCACACAAACTCCACTCACTCTGTAGAACAGGGGGAGATCACACAAACTCCACTCTGTAGACCAGTGGGAGATCACACAAACTCCACTCACTCTACAGAATAGGTGTAGGACACACAAACTCTACACAGTAAGTGCCCGAGTCGGTAATCGAACCCAGGCCTTCCCTGCTGCGAGGCGGTGAGTGTCACCATGGCGCGGCCACCACCCTGGTACCGTTCCGGCCGTGCCGTTCCATCTCCCCGCCCTGCGCCCCCCCCCCCCCCTCTCTGTGCCGTTGCGCTGGACACAGTGACCACGGGCAGCAGTGAGGTCACCGCACTGGGCAGCATCTTCCTGCAGGTGAGCCCCTCCCCCGGGCATCGCTTACTTCCCTCTGCCTGTCGTGGCGTGTGTGTATGTGTGCGTGTGTGTCCATAGCGTGTGTGCGTGTGTGTGCGCGTACAGTGGCACCTCGGTATACGTCGTTAATTCGTTCCGGAAGGTAGAAATTATACTGAAAATGACGTATACCAAACGAATTTTTCCCATAAGAAATAATGGGAAAGGAGAAAGTCCGTTCTAGAGTATAAGAAATTATATTTTACATGGCATATGGGGTTGTATAAAATAATTTAGACACTAATTACTAAAATGCATGCATAGATTAAAATGCATAAATAAATTTAAATAAATTGAAATTTAAATAAAATGTAACATCACTTTACCTTGCCATCTTGAATGAATTTGCAAAAAATTCACGTTAAAATGACAAAAAACACGTGAAAATTCACAGTTCTAGCAAGGGTCGTGCACTGAACGAGATCTACAGGCAGGCTGAGGAGCGGCGCTTTGTTTCAGTCGTGAACGGGGGTCTACGCGGGTACGCGGTGACTCGTCACGACCCACACAAGTTCTAGCAAGCGCATCGTATCCCAAGCAAGACGTCGTATCCCAAGCAAGACGTCGTATCCCAAGACATTTTTTCTCTCGTCAAAACACGACGTGTACCTAATTCGACGTATACCAAAGCGGTCGTGTACCGAGGTATGACTGTATTTGTGGGGAGCGGGCGTTCGACGCTTCACGTGCCCTTCAAGTGCACGTAGCCCGGCACAAGCGCCGTGGTGACGTCACCGCCACTTAGTGGCGTATGGCGGTTGTTGTTGCTGTTGCTGTTGTTGCGTGGGGAGCGGTGGTGTAGCGATCAGCACGCCGCTCTCTGAACCCAGCGACCCGAGTTCGATTCCCACTCACGGCCACCAACACCCAGTGACGATTATCTTAACCGGTCCCCTGGGCCTCAAATGAGTTACCTGGTGCGGTGTGTAGTAAACATCGCCACTGGGGAGACAAAGGCGGCCGGGCGTGGTGCTGGCCACCCACCCCCTCGTGTGCCGCGCCGGCCTTCGTTGGTGCTGCTCGCTGACAGCACTTGCCCCGACAGCCTGTTACAGGCTACACGGGGGACCTTTGTCTTTGTGTGCGGGCACGGGGTGAGCGGTGTCGCAGCGGTGAGCGCGCTCTGCTCCACAAACCCGGCGACCCAAGTTGGATTCCCTCCCCCGGTCACCACCATCGGTGACGATCATCTGAACTCATCCTGGGCCTCCCATAGGTCGACTCGGACCTAAATGAGCATCTGGTGTTGTGAGTGCAAATGTCAGCACCGGGGAGACAAAGGCGGCCAGCCGTCATGCTGGCCACCCACACCGCTTCGTTGGTGCTACCCGCTGACAGCACTTGCCCCGACAGTCCGTTACAGGCTACCCGGGGGATCTTTGTCTTTGTACGTGCGGCGATAAATGCCGCAGCTGGTGTGTCCGCCAGTCATCTCGGTGGGTCAACCCCTGGCACCCCGGGTCGGTCCCGTGACCCCCTCCTGCCTGCGGCGAGCCTTCCACACATTGCTCGTGGTCCCAGCCTGCCACGGTGCACCTAGTCTGGCACAAGCGTGGCGGTGGCGGTGGTTGTTGTTGTTGTTGGTGTGTGATGATGTTTGTCTCTCGCTCTCTGTCTGTGCAGCTGAAACTCGTGCTGAGGAAAGGAACACAGCTTCAGAACGTCTACCTGGGTGAGCGAGCGTGGGGGTGAGCGAGCGTGGGGGTGAGCGAGCGTGGGGGTGAGCGAGGGAGGGGGTGAGCGAGCGCGGGAGTGAGAGGGGTGAGTGAGTGTCTGGGTGAGTGGGGGATGAGTGAGTGTCGGGGTGAGTGAGTGTCTGGGTGGGTGAGTGTCTGGGTGGGTGAGTGTCTGGGTGGGTGAGTGTCTGGGTGGGTGAGTGCCAGGGTGAGTGAGTGTCTGGGTGAGTGAGTGTCTGGGTGAGTGAGTGTCTGGGTGAGTGAGTGTCTGGGTGAGTGTCGGTGTGAATGTCGGGGTGAGTGAGTGTCTGGGTGGGTGAGTGCCAGGGTGAGTGAGTGTCTGGGTGAGTGAGTGTCTGGGTGGGTGAGTGTCTGGGTGGGTGAGTGTCAGGGTGAGTGTCAGGGTGAGTGAGTGTCTGGGTGAGTGAGTGTCGGGGTGAGTGAGTGTCGGGGTGAGTGTCTGGGCGAGTGAGTGTCGGGGTGAGTGAGTGTCGGGATGAGTGAGTGTCTGGGTGAGTGGGTGAGCGAGTGTCTGGGTGAGTGAGTGTCGGAGTGAGTGAGTGTCGGGGTGAGTGAGTGTCGGGGTGAGTGTCTGGGTGAGTGAGTGTCTGGGTGGGTGAGTGTCTGGGTGGGTGAGTGTCGGGGTGAGTGAGTGAGTGTCGGGGTGAGTGTCGGGGTGAGTGAGTGTCGGGGTGAGTGAGTGTCGGGGTGAGTGAGTGTCGGGGTGAGTGTCTGGGCGAGTGAGTGTCGGGGTGAGTGAGTGTCGGGATGAGTGAGTGTCTGGGTGAGTGGGTGAGCGAGTGTCTGGGTGAGTGAGTGTCGGAGTGAGTGAGTGAGTGTCGGGGTGAGTGAGTGTCGGGGTGAGTGTCTGGGTGAGTGTCTGGGCGAGTGAGTGTCTGGGCGAGTGAGTGTCAGGGCGAGTGAATGTCGGGGTGAGTGAGTGTCGGGGCGAGGTGAGCGTCGGGGCGAGTGAGCGTCGGGGCGAGTGAGCGTCGGGGCGAGTGTTTGGGTGAGTGAGCGTCGGGGTGAGTGTTTGGGTGAGTGAGTGTCTGGGTGAGTGAGTGTCTGGGTGAGTGAGTGTCGGGGTGAGTGAGTGTCAGGGCGAGTGAGTGTCGGGGCGAGTGAGTGTCTGGGCAAGTGAGTGTCGGGGTGAGTGAGTGTTGGGGCGAGTGAGTGACGGGGCGAGTGAATGTCTGGGTGAGTGAGTGTCTGGGTGAGTGAGTGTCTGGGTGAGTGAGTGTCTGGGTGAGTGAGTGATAGGGTGAGTGAGTGTCGGGGTGAGTGAGTGTCTGGGTGAGTGAGTGTCTGGGTGAGTGAGTGTCGGGGTGAGTGAGTGTTTGGGTGAGTGTCGGGGTGAGTGAGCATCGGGGTGAGTGTCTGGGTGAGTTAGTGATAGGGTGAGTGAGTGACAGGGTGCACGTCTCCGTGTGCATTGCAGAGCTGACGCTGCCGCAGTTCTACAACTTCCTGCACGAGATGGAGAGGGCGAAAGCGAGCCTTGACAGCTTCCTGTGAGAGGGGGCGGAGGGAGGGAGGGAGAGCGGGGGAGAGGGAGGGCGGGGGAGGGAGGGAGGGAGAGAGGGAGAGGAAGGGGGCGGAGGGAGGGAGGGAGAGCGGGGGAGAGGGAGGGGGGGCTGAGGGAGGGAGAGGGGGGTGGAGGGAGGGGGGGAGAGGTTCGAGAACTTCCTGTGAGAGGGAGGGGAGGGAGAGGGGGGCAGAGGAAAGGGAGGGGAGGGGAGAGGGGGGCAGGGGAGAGGGAGGGAGAGGGAGGGAGGGGAGAGGCTCGTGAGCTTCCTGTGAGAGTGAGGGGGGCAGAGAGAGAGATGGGACGGAGAGGAGTTGTAATGAGCGAAGGGAGAGCTTTCTGTGAGAGAGAGGGCAGGAGGGAGGAAGGGCGGGGGTAGGGCAGGAGCAAGGGGGGAGGGAGGGGGAAGGGCAGAAGGGGGGCGGGAAGGGAGGGAAGCCTCGGAAGCTTCCACGGAGAAAGCGGAGAGAAGGAGGGGAGTGAGGATTGCAGCTCGTGGTGCGTGCACACTCCCTCTGGCTTGCCGCTGGCACGCAACTTGCTCTCTTGACCTCTTGACCCCTGCAGCCACGAGAGGCCGCCACGTGACGTTCGCAGCAACTGTCAAAGCGCCACGATTGTTTGTCGGAACGGCGCGGCGATGATTATTCTTTCAGCGAGTCGATTTCTCTCGCCAAATCCTGGCCCCGCTGCCCCGTTGCCCACGCGGTTGGGGCTCTCGTGTGGACGCTGCATGCGACGGGGGGCAAAGCAAACATCCGCGGAAGCTCCGTGGTGGGGGAAGCAGCCCTGGGCAGTACAGCCAGAGACGAGGAACTCTTTGGGGTGGGGGGGTGGGGGGGGGGGCACTGCCGCAGATTTCTGAATTGAAAACTCCACGGCAATTGCCACGAGACGAACGCGCACACGGAGGCCACGTGTCGAGGTGAGGTCACGTGGGCACCACGTGACCTGTGACCTGGAGGTCGAACAGATGCCACGTGACCTCCGCGTGTTCGTCTCGTGGCTTCTCGGCCCCATGACGATGGAGGTTGTCAAATCCGTGGTAAATAATTAAAAGCCGAACTATTTTTTTATGTTTTAGCAGGTAAGGCGCACTGAGAAATGTCGTTTTTTTTCACACAAATGATAGCTCGTTGAAGCGGCTTATCACGTGCAATTTAGAGCAGCCAAATACGCTTATTAAACGCGTGTTTCTAAGGTGGAGGTGAAAACCCGGAGGATCCGGAGAAAAATCCACGCGAGCATGGGAGAGATGAGAGAGAGACCGAAGACTCCAAATACAGCAGCAGGCGTCAGGGTCTGGATCGAACCCACGACCTCCTGTAGACCAGGCGAGGTAGTTAACATCTCCTAGCACCGTGATGATGATGATGAGAGAGAGAGAGAGACACGAGACTCCAAATATACAGCAGCAGGCGTCAGGGTCGGGATCGAACCCACGACCTCCTGTAGACCAGGCGAGGTAGTAACCATCTCATAGCACCGTGATGATGATGATGAGAGAGAGAGACACGCAAAACTCCAAATGTACAGCAGCAGGCGTCAGGGTCGGGATTGAACCCACGACCTCCTGTATACCAGGCGAGGTTAGTTAACATCTCCTAGCCACCGTGATGATGATGATGAGAGAGAGAGAGAGACACGAAGACTCCAAATATACAGCAGCAGGCGTCAGGGTCGGGATCGAACCCACGACCTCCTGTAGACCAGGCGAGGTAGTTAACATCTCATAGCCACCGTGATGATGATGAGAGAAAGAGACACGCAAACTCCAAATATACAGCAGCAGGCGTCAGGGTCGGGATCGAACCCACGACCTCCTGTATACCAGGCGAGGTAGTTAACATCTCCTAGCCACCGTGATGATAATGATGTGAGAGAGAGACACGCAAACTCTAAACATACAGCAGCAGGCGTCAGGGTCTGGATCGAACCCACGACCTCCTGTAGACCAGGCGAGGTACTTAACATCTCTAGTTAGCTGGAAAACACGCGCTTCAATCAACAACAACATCAGCACGGGGCGCGGATAGTGAACGAGCACAGGCTCTGTGAATTATGCAACGAAACATCGGCGGTTCCTGAACAAAATGCGTTTGTTGTGTCGTCTTGTGTCCGGTCACCACCGATGTTGGTCGCTGCTGCTGCTCAAATAATGTTGATGGTATGTGTGGGTGCGTGTCCGCGTGTTGAACTTATTTCGCCGCCGTACGTAGCCTAACCGCGTTCGTAGGAGGTGTGGGGCGACCGAACAACGAGAGTGCCCACAATGCAGTGCTTCAAGAACGACTACGGATTGTTAGCCTTTTATCTGGCAACAAAATTGACACCTTTATTACAAAGAGTCGTGTTTGCATTGACCACAATACCTGCAGTCGGAATGTAAACAAAAAACACAACTCTGATAATGTATGCACTGTCCTTGAAGTTGATTGGTCCACACCTGAGACAGCTTTCCTTAGAGCCTAGTCTCACATGGTGTTGGACCAGATGACGCCAAAAGGCGCACAACTCAAAGACAATGCACCATCAGAGTATGAGAGCTCGGGGTAAGCATTTACACCATTGGAACCTCATTTGCCAGTAGAAAAATATGATAATTGTTTTTTTTTACCCTTCTATCTGGCAACAAAACTGACACCTTTTTTTTACCAAGAGTAATGTTTGCATTGACCACAATACCTGCAGTCGGAATGCAAACAAAAAACATAAACTCTGATAATGATATGCATTGTCCTTGAAATTGATTGGTCCACACCCGAGACGAGCTTTCTTTAGAGCCTAGTCTCACATGGTGTTAGACCAGATGACGCTAAAAGGTGCCAATTATCATTTTGTTACTGGCAAATGAGGTTCCAATGGTGACTACGGAGTGGTTTTTGTTGTTGCGTAACGAACGGTGGCCGAGAGCTCCTGTACATGCGCTCCGTCTGTGTGTCTGTGTTAGTGGGGAGCGGTGGTGTAGCGGTTAGCGCGCTGCGCTAAAAAACCTGGCCACCCGAGTTCGATTCCCGTTCACGGCCAACACCCAGTGACGATTATCTGAAACCGGTCCTGGGCCTCCCCTCGGTGGACTCGGCCTCAAATGAGTACCGTGGTGCGGTGTGTAACATCGCCACTGGGGAGACAAAGGCGGGTCGGGCGTGGTGCTGGCCCACCCATCCCCTCGTGTGCCGTGCCTGGCCTTCATAGGTGCTCGCTAACAGTACTTGCCGCAACAGTCTGTTCAGGCTATACGGGGGATCTTTGTCTTTTTGTAGTGAGGAGCGGTGGTGTAGCGGTTAGTACGCTGCGCTACGAACCCGGCGAGACCTGAGTTCGATTCCTGCTCACGGCCAACAAAAAGTGACGATTATATGCACCGGTCCTGGGCCTCCCCTAGATTGACTCGGCATCAAATCAGTACCCGGTGCGGTGTGTAAACATCGCCACTGGGGAGACAAAGGCGGTCGGGCGTGGTGCTGGCCCACCCATCCCCTCGTGTGCCGTGCCGGCCTTCATAGGTGCTCGCTAACAGCACTTGCCCCAACAGTCTTTTCAGGCTGTACGGGGGACGTTTGTCTTATGTGTAGGTTTGTGACTTAAAGGATCGTGAAGTGTCGCCATCTCTGGCTTTTTTCCCACTTTTGAGCAAAACCCAGAGAGACACATTTCTCGGTCAGCTGGTAGGTTTATGTTTAAAAGTTGCAACACAAGCCCGGTACCAGAACTCGGTGCAAGTTCCTTCCTGCAGCCCAAACGCAGATACCAACCCTGGACAGGTGGCAACCCTGGTGGGTGCTTGGGTGAGTGAGTGGCTGAGTGGATAATTGATTGACTGGCTGAGTGCATGAGTGAGGAAGTAAGTGGGTGAGTGACTGAGTGGCTGAGTGTATCATTGAGTGGGTGAGTGAATGTGCATGAGTGACGGTGGATGAGTAAATGAATGGGTGAGTGGATCATTGAGAAGGTGAGTGGGTGAGTGACTAGGTGAGTGAGGAAGTAAGTGGGTGAGTGACTGAGTGGCTGAGTGTATCATTGAGTGGGTGAGTGAATGTGCATGAGTGACGGTGGATGAGTCAATGAATGGGTGAGTGGATCATTGAGAAGGTGAGTGGGTGAGTGTATCATTGAGTGGGTGAGTGAATGTGCATGAGTGACGGTGGATGAGTCAATGAATGGGTGAGTGGATGATTGAGAAGGTGAGTGGGTGAGTGACAAGGTGAGTGAGGAAGTAAGTAGGTGAGTGACTGAGTGGCTGAGTGAGTGCTACGGTTTCCAACCCTTCTGTAGACCAAACACCGATACATTTCTCAACCCTGGCAGTCGTCTGCGATAAAGTTCTACTCGATACCGGTCGATTTGTTACCAGATCTCGGTAACAAATCAATTTGTGCCACCCGACGCACACAGATGGCAATTCCCGGACTCTGGGCAGGTTTAAACCTTGCCACGTGGACAATCTCACTGTTTCATTGCTTTTATGGCTTTATTTTGGTGATTTCGAAAAGTTTTTTGGTTTGGCCATGTTTGTTGTAGTACAGAGTTAGACTGATGGCCTTAATCTAAGTTGTCTTGTGGTTGTTGTTGTGTGTTTGACTTGCATCCCACTGGGATTTTTGCACACAGTGTTGGTGTACGGTGCCTTTTCTGCAATATTTTGCTGTCTTTTCTTGGATTTTCTGTTTGCACTTAGTCACTTTAAGATGTTTTCTTGTTCATGTTTTCTGTTTGTTGCGGTTGCACCCGATTCAAGAGCCGAATGGCTCACAGGGCTAGATACCTAATACATGAGCTTGAAAGAACCAAAGAGTATGTTAACCCGGTGCTGTATATTTAGACCATTGCCCCCAATAGGGTTTCAAGACCGTGCTGATGAGACCCCAGAAGCCTGCCCACCGATGGGCTTGGGCGAAACCACGCCCTGCCCAGTCGCATTGGGCCGGAAAACTCCACAGGCTCAGGGCAAAGATGCCCTGCTGGTTCTCCCCTTCAAGTTCAAGCTCATGTATTAGGTATAGCCCTGTGAGCCATTCGGCTCTTGAATCGGGTGCA